CTCCAATTGGGACCAAAATTTATATATGATATCTATAACCGTGGTATCACCGATCGAGGGGGTGAGACTAAATAAAATCGTTAATTTATTTTTTGAAGGACCACCCTAATATACATACATATGTACATACATAAAACCGGTAAATGTTATATATATACTTAGCGCTAGTCGCCATATCAATTTAAGTGAGTAAATACTTTAGCAAGAGCCTCGAAGTGGAGCACGCCACACCTGCGAATGTGCGAGTATAGATATCCCGTTTGAGTGTCCTTTCCTTAGGTTGGGTGGGGAGCACTAAATAAAAACGGAAGTAGGATGGGTTTGCACGTATATACAGAGCTACATATATGACGCATAGTGTGTGTGAACCATACATGTATTTGGAGAACGGAATTAAAAAGGCGCGGCTGGCGAGCAGGCGACTGCAAGGCGGAGAAAGTCGATGTCCTCAACAAGGTAAAAGGCAAAGCAAACAATAAATGATTGAACGAGCAGAAAAATATTTTTCCCTAGGAGAGTTTGAAAAAAAGTCTTCCGCAATAATGATTATGTGTGCTTTCGAAGCTTTTTTACTGCGTCTTCCTGTACAGCTGGGGAAGCCCCCGCCATAGGCATTACCGCTAACGAGCGCTTAAAAAAAAGAATAGCAAACAACTGAAAACCAAACTTAAGAATTCAATACGAGTGCATTTGAAGTGAAAAAAGCGATAAAGTAGGCGTGCTCAACTAAATAATAAACACTTTTCAAACGGACATCAAGCACTCCTTGCTCTCGCGTATACCCATCTCGCTTGTACGCTGAACAGCACTTGAAACCTCGCCTCAGCGCGCCACTTCACACCACCATTATCTGGCATTCTGCTCAATATCCTTTGCGGCACTTGTGGCTGGAGTGTAGGTACTCACTCACTTTGGGAATTTCCCTACGAGTGCGCGCTCACTTGCCGTGCTGCATCCTTTTTCCTTTGTCCATCCACTTTCGCTATCTTTGCGAGTGTGTGTATGTGTACGAGTCACTGCACAAAGCTGGAGAAATGTGCGCGCGTGAAAATTTCCCAGCGGCGCGCAAGTGCTGCGCAACAACAACATAAGGGCACTAGCGCGCTCAACTACGCAGCCTATTGTCGTCTCACTCACTTAGGTGCCTACACTAGCAAAAGCAGCAATAGTATTCAACGCGCCTAGATATGGCGCTGGTAAAACCCACTCGGCGCAACAAAAATAACAACAAAGCGCATGCGGCGTTTTCATTGGCTGGTCGTTGGGGTGTAGCGCGCGCGTTCCCATACACTCACTCGTTTAGCTTGCGACAGCTAGCTAGTGGTAGGGAGGCGTTAGCGCTAGCATTTATTATTGTTTTTGTTTCACTGATTTTCATTCTATAATCTTTTTTTCTGTAGGTTTTTTTGCTGGCTTTTCTTTTGCCTCGTTCATACACTCCAGCAAGTAATAAGCGTTTTGCTTTTGAGGCTTGTTGTTTTTGTTGCTCCGCTTTTATTGTTGGCCATCTTTGTTCGAAAAAAGCAATTGTTTCAGCGTTGTATGCGCGCATTTGTGTGTGTGTGTGCCTGTGCGTGTGTGTGTGTCAGTGTGTTCAAGCATGGCATGCTTTTAGGGGCTGTCTGGCGTAATGTAATCCTTGTTGAATGTTTAGTGTCTACATTTGAGAACTTTATTAGAAATATTTTGTTACTTTATTTGTTTGTTTGTTATTTTTTCGTATGTTGTGCCTTGGAGTGGTCTCTTATGCGCGAAGAGTGTGTCGTTATGGCTTTTATAAATGCATGCATACATACATACATACATATGTACACACATGCCTGGATATATAGGAATGTTTATGCAGGACAACTTTTTCCCATCGCAAACGGAAACCCATTTCTCAGTATTGCTTCAAAAACTTTAGCGAAATTTTATGTGACCAGCATTTATTACGCTCTTTTTCAAAAAGTTCCAAACACCACTGAGACCTTTTTTGAATATTACGATTTTTTTTTTATTTCAAAAACCCTTCGAAAAAATGGAAAACTTAAAAAAAAAACAATGCATACATATCGTCGACTGAGTTGAAGATCGCCCTAACTCGGCTACAAGTTCGAAAACGCCCTATGTCAGCAAATTGTTGAAGACCGCCCTATTTTAGAATTTGATGAAGCAACGCCCCCGTCTCATAATTTGGTTCAAAAACTCCCTATCTAAGCTGCCGTTTCGAAAACGTCCTATCTCAATATAAACTCAATATATCGGCAGCTAAAGTGGGGCTTGAACTATTTGCTGAGGCGTACGGAGTTCTTCACCTTCGGATATATTTAGAGCGTTTTTCAACTCTTTTGCTTAGATAGGGCGATCTGCGACTCAGCCGTCGATATGTTCTTTATCTACATATTTGTTTTTCTTCATCTTATTGTTCTTCTTTTTTCTCCCCCTCTTCTTTTTCGTCTTCCTGATCGGGATCAGAGAAGAAGATCCTGAAGGAAGAGCAATATTTCCACTGCTTTCTTCCTCCTTTTTCTATTTAGTTTCAATTCTTTTCACTTAATTTCAGATTCTTATCACTATACTTCCCTTTATTTACCTCATTTCAACTGATTTTAACATATTTTATTTCCTTTCATTTCATATTACTTTATTTCATTTAGTTTCACATCCTTTCCATTCTCTTTCTTTCTATGCTTTCCTATCCTTTCCTTTCCTTTGCTTTGCTTTCCTTTCCTTTCCTTTCCTTTCCTTTCCTTTCCTTTCCTTTCCT